ATCCCAGGAATGAAACCTGTAAAACAAAAGTTGCGTCGAATGAAACCCGACGTAGCACTTAAAATAAAAGAAGAAATTCAAAACCAAATAACTGCAGGTTTCATCAAGGTATCCGAATACCCCGAATGGGTCGCCAACGTCGTCCCAGTTCCAAAGAAAGACGGAAAGGGTAAGGATGTGTGTCGACTATCGAGATCTAAATAAGGCAAGTCCAAAGGACGACTTCCCTTTGCCACACATCGATATTCTGGTAGACAACACAGCAAATCACGCGCTTCTCTCATTCATGGACGGATACGCAGGGTACAATCAGATTCTCATGGCGGAAGAAGACATGGAGAAGACAACTTTTATCACACCATGGGGCACTTACTGTTACACGGTAATGCCATTTGGGTTGAAAAACGCAGGTGCTACTTACGAACGTGCAGCAACTGCCTTTCTCCATGACATGATGCACAAAGAAGTAGAAGTATATGTCGACGACATGATTGTGAAATCAAAGGACCGTCCAGGCCATCAAGTAGCCTTAAGGAAATTTTTCGAAAGGCTAAGAAAATACAATATGAGGTTAAATCCATCAAAATGTGCTTTTGGAGTCACCTCAGGCAAGCTCTTGGGGTACGTCATAAGCTCTAGAAGAATAGAGATAGATCCAACCAAGATTAAAGCAATCATGTCAATGCCACCGCCCAAAACCGAGAAACAGATTCGAGGATTCATTGGCCGGTTGCAATACATAAGTAGGTTCATATCAAAACTAACAACAATATGCGAACCAATCTTTAAAAAGCTCAAGAAGAATGTACCAGTAATATGGGATGACGAGTGTCAAAAAGCCTTTGACCGGATCAAAGCCTATCTCACAAATCCTCCCGTATTAGCGCTAGCACTTCCCGGAATACCTCTTAGGTTATATTTGACGGTTACCAAAGAGACAATGGGAGCCATACTAGCACAAGAGGTAGAAAACAAAGAGAATGCAATCTATTACTTAAGTAAGAAGATGCTCGAATACGAAACACGCTATACACCACTCGAGAAATTGTGCCTCGCTTTGGTGTGGGTCACAACTAAGTTGAGACATTACATGTTGGTGCATACCGTTTTCGTAGTATCTCGGTTGGATCCACTCAAATACTTGTTCGAGAAATCAACACTCAATGGACGTATTTCAAGATGGATAGTCAACTTAGCCCAGTTCGATGTGCGGTTTATGCCACAAAAAGCTATTAAAGGATCCGTGGTGTCAGACTTTCTGGCAGATTTTCCAATAGAAGACTCGACACCAATACAGGACAATGAATTTCCAGATGAAGATTTGATGGTCACCGAAGATGATACTTGGACCTTGTATTTCGACGGATCCTCAAACCAAAAGGGATGTGGTGTCGGAGTGCTACTAGTATCACCTAAAGAAGAACACGTCCCAATCTCAATAAAGCTTGATTTCGACGTTACCAACAATGCTGCTGAATATGAAGCATGTGTGGTAGGACTTGAAACAGCCCTGGCATTGGGAGTAAAGAAGTTAAGGATATTCGGAGATTCCTCTCTAATCATCAATCAAATATCTAAAAGGTGGAAAGTAAGGAGCGAAAGCCTAGCCCCTTACCAAACTTATCTGGAAACTCTTACCGATCAGTTAGAGAAGGTAGAATACACATATCTACCTAGAGAAGAAAATCAATTTGCTGATGCCTTGGCGAGATTAGCCTCAATGGTTAGGATTCCCACGGATATCGAGCAAATGCCTCTAACTATCGAAAAAAGGCACAAACCGGCATATATACAGGCTATAGAAGACGACGACCCAGCCCAAGACGAAGATGAAGAACAAGAAGAAGAACCATGGTATACAGACATTCTCAACTATGTCACCAAGGAAGAATACCCTCCTCATGTTGACAAAAGAGAAAAACGAGCCTTGAGACTTTTGGCTTCTCAATATGTACTCATAGACAACGAGCTACATAAAAGGGTACCTAAAGGTCAAGCTCTCCTATGTGTAGGGAAAATGGATGCACAAAGAATAATGAGAATGGTCCACGAAGGAATCTGTGCAACTCATATAAATGGAAAAATGTTAGTCTAGAAAATAATGCGAGAAGGGTATTATTGGACTACCATGAATAGGGATTGCCATCAATATGTGAAAAGATGCCCTAAGTGTCAAATTTATGCCAACTTACAACATGTTCCTCCATCTTTGCTCTACACCTACACATCACCATGGCCATTTTCTACATGGGGAATTGACATAATTGGCAAGATCGCTCCTCCAGGGACAGGAGGCCATGAATTTATTCTAGTAGCAATTGATTACTTTACGAAGTGGGTTGAAGCACAATCATATGCTAAACTCACCGCAAAACATGTAGCACTCTTTATCGAAAGGAATATCATTTGTCGATACGGAGTCCCACGTGAAATGATAAGTCACAATGGAACTCACTTTCAAGCCGAATGTGAAGAATTGCTACATAAATATGGTATCCAACATCATCATTCGTCCCCTTATAGACCTCAAGCAAACGGAGCAGTCGAGGCAGCTAATAAGAATTTAAAGACTATCATCGAGAAAATGACAGAAAATTATAAGGATTGGCCTGACAAGCTTCACTTTGCATTGTGGGGTTATCGCACGTCAATCCGTACGTCAACATGAAATACACCATTTTCTTTGGTATACGGAATGGATGTCGTACAACCTGTCGAACTAGAAATACCATCTCTACGTATTGCGCTAGAGAGTAAACTCGATGAAGTCGAATGGATTAAGGCACGATATGAAGAATTGATCCTACTCGATGAAAAACGACTAGAAGCTCTACATCACACTCAGTGCTATCAAACTCGTATGGCTAGACATTTTAATAAGAAGGTCAAGACAAGAAATATCAAAGTAGGAGATTTGGTATTAAAAGCGCTAAGGAAAAATGTTTTAGATCAAAGGGGAAAGTTTAGACCTAATTGGTCTGGCCCCTATATTGTCAAAACAATCCTGTCAGGTGGTGCAGCGAAATTAACTGACATGGATGGCAATGAATTCTCAAACATGACCAATCTTGACCAACTTAAAAAATACTACCCATAATTACTTGAGTAGGACACTCAAGAGAGTTACGTTCGGCCTGATTCCTTAGGAAAGGATACGTAGGCAACCCATTACGGGTACGGCCACTTTGTTTTTTGACATCTCCGCGTTCCAGAATCAACAAAAAGTCAACAAAAGTCGGAAAACCAACTGGCGTCACAGAACAAAGTCTGGCGCCAGCCAAAAGCCATTAGCGCAGACGGTGGAATTGGCGCCTGGCGCCAGACCTCGATAGCTGGCGCCAATCTGCAATTACTGACGCCAATTCAGTCATAAAATCTGGGCAAATTTCGGTGTTTTTCGGAAAATTTTCGACTTCCGTACTCGAAAGGTTTCCGAAAATTAATAAATTTTTTCAATCTGGCATTGGATTTCTCCCTGATTCAACTTGTTCAAGCACAGTGGTTATAATTGACTGACCCTCATTAATTTTACCACTACTAAGACAATATTGATTAAGCATGCAGAATAACAACGCCCTTCTTCTATATATGTGAAAAGATTCAGAAAGCGGTTTATCAAAATAATAGCGTGCGAATTCTTTTAAGTTCACTACGTTGCCATCTACTATCTTTGATAAATCCCTTTCCTTCAAGTTAAAAAAGCGCTAAAAATCCTTATAGTACTCTAGGGATTACTACCAGGTCTATTGCAGGGAAGCCTAAAATAGCACCAAATTCCTCTGGCAAAGGGCTAATTTCATCATACCCTATTCTAAAACAATGTGTATCAATGTTCTAATATTCTAAAGCGGTATGTATGAAGTCTATGTCTAGATCTACCCCTTTAATGCCATATATTCCCCCAAGTGAAATAAATCCAATTCTTTTCTTTCTCTAGCATTGAGAGATCGACACCATTCATGAGAATATTGGGTGAAGGTTTTAGTGGCTAAAGACATGATTATTATTTTTTGTTTCTAAAGAGAAAAATAATTTTTTCGCTGGAATTATGTGAAGAATCGGCTGAGCAGGGGGCTATTTATGCTCGAATTGCGAGGAATTTCAATCTGGATAAAATACGGAGTCAGCGTCGATTGGCGTCACCCACCCAGAATTGGCGTCACCCATCCGCTTTTGGCGCCACACGCTAGGTGTAGCGCCTGGCGCCACGCGCCATAGGCTGGCGCCAGCTGGCGCCAAGTCAGCAGGACAGCCGCGCGTGCTCAGTTTGCGTTCTGATATTAAATTGGAGTCAGTTAATGACTTTATGGCCCCGTTTTTATTTTTCTAAATATTTTTCTATTTATTAATTAAATATAACAGTTATTTTTTACTTCTTTTTTTGAATTAATTTTCAAAAATCAGCCTTTTTCTCCTTTTTATTTTTCCTTTTTATTTTTTCTTTTTGGGGGAGAGAGTCGGATAATACCCTCCATCAATAATAAAAATGACGGAATTTTTGCGCAAAATTGTTATCACATTTGCACACACTAACATACACTAACATAATAATAGATAAATTCAAAATAACATAAAGTATAAAGTGTCTAAATAACAAGTCAAAGGCAAAGTTCTATAAAAAGTCAAAATAAAATGCACTACGGCGCCGGAGGACGTAGGCCCATCATGCCATAAAACTGCGCCGTCCAAGGAGTCACCTCTCCACCAGCTCCAGCCTCAGCACCAGCTCCAATCTCCGTAGGAGGAGGGAAACTCAAAACAAGACCGCTCCAGCCAAGGTCAACCTGAGGCTGAGACCGCGGAGGCTGCTGCGATGACGAGCCAACCTCGTACATCCCACCACCTCTGAAAGCCGAGGTAGCCTCTCCCACAGGTGCAGCAGGAGCACCCTCAGAAGAAGACCCTGAGCCCTCGGCAACGTCGGCTCGAGCAGCCTCGGAACGGCCACCTCTACCTCCTGACGAAGTGCGACGACGTCTCGAGCTAGACCTCGCCGGCTCTCTCCGCCCCTCAGGCCTCGTACGGGTGTGAGAAGCAATCGGCTAACCCTGCAAAAAGAATTAAATCAGAAACAAGGTGAAAACTGAAGCATAATGCAGAAATAATAAGTAAAGAAAAGTTACCTCTCGGACAGCGTCGCCTCGAAGACAGGTAGCCGCGTTCCTCATCCAGACGAGTTGGCTCCGGAAGGCATCTATGCATCGTGCCATAGCCGAAACCACCTCGCGGGAGAACTGTCAAGGAAAGTTAAGTCTGTAAAAATGCATGATAACTGAATACAAGATTCTGAATTAGAACTAGACTTACCCTGGTCTGGTGATGAGGAATCGACCGCTCCACGAAGCGCTCGCCCTCAGGAGCCGGAGAAATCATCTCCTCGATCGGTATACTACCTCAGGTCCCTATAAAAATACCAATCGGGTAAGAACATGTCTAAAACGTCGCAGAAGGGCAAGATAAACACTAAAAATCGTACCGAGATGATCCGACTCCGGACACGTGCATTAGACAGGTCCACATGGTGGCCGCCCCAAGAGGCGCTCACCGAATACCCCCTCGGCGATGGTCTCCCCGGCGCAATGGAAGGAAAGTACTCATAGAACCAGATCTACAAAAAAGCTAAAGCGTGAGTAAATGCTAACTAACATATAGGGCTAAACTTTATAGGGAATAATGTTTACCTCTACGACTTTCCAGAAAGCAGACAAAGCAACGTTCCTCCTAAAGGACCGGTGGCGACACGAGTCCCTCAGTGCGCGAACATAGTCAGTATAGGCCATGCTGGCCCAGTCATAAGTCCCGATCCGCCGGAGATCGCGGACAGTAAGGAGGTAGTAAAGCAACGCCCTACTACCCCTGTCAGGGGAGAATGTCCCTGACAACAACATCAGCACAAAGATACGCACCCGCTGCTCTCGGGTGGTCGCATCATCGTCAAGAGCCGCTGCCAGCGTTGAGCGGCGAATCCCTCTGGCACTGAACTGAGTCGTCTCGACCTCAGCTCGGGCCCGAACAGCAATCGACCCCAACAGTTCCTCGACCTCTAGAGAAAAGACGTCGATACCGCCGTCGAATGGCAGCGGCACAGAAGAGAACTCCAGTCCTGTGATGAGACTGAAGTCTGTAGGAGTGACCATCATCTCACCCCATGGAAAATGAAAGGTGTTGGTGGTGTCCCAAAAGAACTCCACCAGAGCGCGTACTACGTGGTGACCCCCGTTAGAGGCGACCGTAGCCTCGGAGGTCTCAAACAGGGCAACCAGTCCGCAAGACTCCCATAGGAGTCTCGTCTCTCGATCTCTGGCGATATGCATCCTATACAAATCGCCTAGACCATCGCAGCCAGAGCCGTGGTGTCGTGTCCTCCCAGGCTCGGTTCCCCGTCTCACCCTCTCAGAAATGTGGTGGACAGGGGAAAAGAACAAGGTCTGCTCATCCCACTCTGGGAACTGACCAAGCGAAGTGGACGGTGTAGTGTCGTCCTCCACGGGATCATGCTCCCGTCTAGTGTTTCGGGACCGTGAACCTGAGCCTCGTTGTCTAGCCATGCTACATTGTGCAAAATCATCATAAATTAAGGTTCTATAGTATCTAAAGGTTTGCCTAGCCGCATGATACTATGTTCGCAAAAACAGAGTACGTAGTACTAAAACAGAGTACGAATTCAAATTGAGCATGATAGCATTTTTTCAAGCAATCAAACAATTTCTTGCAACACTATAGTGATTATTGTGACAAATTGAACAAGAATTGCTAGCAAAAACAACAAGAACGGGTCACATTGTTCTTCACGACCTTAGGAGGTCCAACAATGGTGGATTGCTCATTTCTTCACCAAATTGAGTCAAACAAGTCTCAAATTACTCCCAAGGCAATATACAAACATAAACAAGCAATTTTATGGCATAAAACTTGATAAACAAAGCAAATTGAGCATTATAAGTTTCGAATTTTCATGAAATTCGTGAATGAACATGCCAAAAATTCATAAAAATCGGTGTGAGTTGGAGGAAAACTTACATAGATCGGGAATATGGATGAGAAGAGCTTTGATTTGCAACAAATTTGAGCGAATTCGGTTGAGAAACGAATGAGCAACGATCAATTGAAGTTTCGACTTCTTTCGAGCAGCGTTCGCAAACCAGAGCACGAAATGAACTAAAAACGGGAATTTAAAGTGATTCTCGTGCTGGCGCCAGTCCCTAGGCATTGGCGTCACATTCTGTGCTTGGCGCCAGACGCCAATTTCAGCGTATGGCGCTAATGCCGTAAGGCTGGCGCTGATTGATTGTCAGCGACGCCAAAGCAGTCAGCCACCTTTTGGGGTTGTGCTAGCCTTCTGCGACATATTTTGGGTTCCTTGGTACGCCAGTTAGCTCCTCTAAGCAATTTGACATGATTAGGTAATCGGCTTGATTACATGAAGTGATCGACCTGATGAAAAGATCGTCTCACTAAGCTTAAAGCGCCTAAGCATTGGCTCATTAGCAAAAAGCACCGAAATATAGGTTCAAGAGCAAAGAGCGCCGACGTACAGGCATAGCACAAGCAAAGTTCAGGCGAACTTTTTAAGGATCGACAGGCGTGGATCTTCGGTATTTTCCTTTGGGAGATTATCGCATTAAATGAGGATGACTTCAAGAGAAGATGTCTTCGACATCATTCCCTAGCTTGCGGAAAGTTGTCACAAACAACTGCAGGTAATTTCGGGCGGAATAGTCTTCGGTCATAGTTCCTGAGGCATGGAAGATGATCATAATGCGGATGAGAATTATTTCAAGAGAAATAATTTTCGATGATGTTCCCTTGGACGTGGAATATTATCACAGCGGAGAAGGTAGTTTCAGGCGAAGCAATCTTCTAATTTGGAAGCAGTTACAAGGCGTAGCGGTTTTTAAGCGAGATGGCATTCTCTAGCTTGCAGGAGGTCGTCAAAACAACAACAACAGCAACAATCCGTTACTTTCAGAGACGTGTGCTCGACGGTGCAAGATACGCGTTTCTTAACTCTTTAATCGGTTTAACTAATGCTAGTTTTGCAGGTATCGGCGTTACAAGATTGATTTAGGATCGCAGAACGTTATGAATCATTCTTCGTCCCTATCGCTACTTTAACTTTCGTTTTCGAAACTTGCGTTTCTCCAAACTCAGTCAAAGTGGGGGCTTCTGTAGACACCCATTTGTGTCTCCCCAAAACCAAACCCAGTGATGAGTGTCTTTCACATCGAATCATAATCGAATGAAACGAAAGTGTGGAAAGGTCTAGTGTTTCGGAAAGTTTTATTTTATTTCTTTTCTTTTCTCTTCTCTCTGTTTTTTTGAAAACTTTATTTTAAGAAAACAGTCAATCCAGTTTGGTTGGTCCATGATATGGGTCCAATAGTGGTGTAGTTGAATGGGGCTTGCAAAGACCTTTCCAACGATATATTATAAGCCCAATTCCGATGAATATTGAGGAATTTATGGCCAATTTACTAAACTGGGCCCGGTTTGAGCTTTAAGTACGGCCCAATGATATAGGGGAGGGCCTAATATGATTTATCATTCCTAATGTAATTAGGAATGGTTTTGGTCTTCTAGAATATTCTAGAAGGTCTTATCATTCTTAATTCAATTAGGACTCTTCAGAGTTTTAATTAGATCAAATAGCATTTTCGACTGAAATTATATTATTTTATCTTCCAGTATGGGAATTTTATCAGATTTTCGAAAACGCGTTGAAATCCAATTTGGCGTCCAACCCCAGCCCTTGGCGCCTGGAATCAGGATTAGCGCCAGACGCCAGCCATTGGCGCCTGGCGCTAGCCACTGGTCCTGACGCCAATGAGCCAGAGCTGGCGCCAAGTTAGTTTTGTGGTCTTCAGACTCTGTTTTGATAAATTATCTTTTTTGGCTGATTTTCTCTATAAATATCGTATCAAAAACTCCGTTTTCATTCATCATCTACAATCAACAATCACTTTACCAATAATCAATTCTCTTCTTCATCATTCATTCATCAATTTTCAATAACATTAATTCTTTTAGCATTCTTTTCTAAACCTTACTTTTTCACACAAAATTCCGCATTCACAAGATCTAGAAACACCTAGCCATATTCGAAGTTGCCTTCGCTCTAGACGTGAAAGGTTTTAATTTCTAAGGGTTTGGTCCCAAATCTCTCTTTCAATTATTTAATTTAATTGTTTTGATTATTATTTTCCTTGAAGTTACTAACGCGTGTATTTTGTAATTAGAAAGAGGTACGAGGCATCCAAGTAAGTACTTTAAGGGATTTTATTAATTGATTGATTTCATGATGTAGATATCATGCTTAGATTATTATTTTTATGATTCCTAGTATCATGCCTAGGGTATCTTTAATATTAAGTATGATTTAAAAGTATGATGCTTCCTATGTTCTTCCTAATATTTATATATATTTATGATTATGATTGATTATTGATTATTTATTATGTTGCTTGATATGCATATTATTTTATATTGTTATTGCTTGATCACCTTTTATTGCATGTTAAAGGGAATTGGTATTTGCAACCACACTTAATAAGATATTTAATAATCTTGTTAGGTTAATTGTGATTATAATTCAAGTGATCGCCAATAATAGTTTATTTGTGCATTAAATTCAACCAACATAGATAAACAGGTTTAGGGTTAACCTATTGATTGCATGTTAGTCAGAAAGCGCACATGAATACGATCAGAATAAAGTAGAGGCCTATTATTAGGGCAGGTCCCCAATCTCTTTTAGGTTGGATTTGTACCATCATCCCCGAACCCTTATTTGGTTCACGACCTTATGGAGTTGACGATCTCTTGGATCGTTAAAGGGTGTAACCTTCATCCTATGAACGGTTTACAAGTTCCTTAAAAACTTGTTGGCGACTCTTTTGCTCTATTTTCTTCCCTTTTGGACGCCACCGTACTTTAGTGTATGATCATAGTGGGGTTCAAGCTAGCGGGATTTTTAAAGGCTTGAAATTATTCCCTACAGTGATATACATGGTAGAGTTCCAAAAACATGGACTGCCTCATGCTCACATCCTTTTATTCTTAAAATCTGAGGACAAGATTGCTAATGCTCGTGACATAAATAAAGTTATATGTGCTGAAATCCCTAATCCTATAAAGGAACCTAAGTTGTATAAGCTTGTTAGAGATTCTATGATGCACGGTCTTTGTGGTGTTTTAAATAAACAATCTCCATGCATGAAAGAAAGAAGGTGTTTAAAACATTTTTCTAAGAGCTTTGTTGAAGAGACAAGTGTTGATGAAAAAGGATATCCTATTTATAGAAGACGGGATGATGGGAAATTTATTAAGAAGAATGGTATAAAGTTAGAC